CTAGAAAGTTTCATTCTTGTCCAGTGTCTGCACTATTTCTCTCCAGAAGTTATGTGATTAAAAAAAAACTCAGGCCCTGTCTACATGGAGACAGGGTTTAGCTGTATATGGAAAACATTTGTATCATATCGGCGTTTCGTCCAGATGGATCCGGCGTTTTGGGAGCCTGAAACTGCTATTTTTTTAAACCGGGTCCCAGAGTGGAGAAATCTGAAAACGATGACCTTGCGTTTTCGTGTGTACAACGAATCCGTATATTTTGTGAAACGATGATGTCATCACCCCACGTCTCGACCCTAGTCAAATGCTGCTACCTTATGTAACAGCAACAACGACAACAATGGCAGACTACATGCTAGGGCTGAAAAGATTCCTTGAATAACTCAAGTAACTCGAATACAAAAAATCAATGGGCTTCGTTTAGTCCATTTAATGTAACTAAACACGGAACACCGTGTTTCCCCATGGACCATTATTACTGACGCACAAACCGATAAACCCTGGACATATTTAAGACCGTAAATATATCGTAAATATGCTGGCTAGCTATGATGTCCCTAAGTTAGCTATGTGTTGTTAAAGACTTAGCACCATTCATGTTGACTGTCTCATTCTATCTCTGTGACACACACACACACACACACACACACACAGACACACACAAATACCACAGAAAGTAAGTTAGACAATATCACACGAAGAGTGCCAGTTTTCACCTCTAAAATCAGCACGATTACAAATGTGATACTGATTTTATGCAACATTTCAAGAAACAATAAGTTAATATTAAGAGACTTACCGTTTAGACACATATTGTCTGTTTTGCTCTCGCCAACAAAAAAGTATTCCAAACACAGCCACAGCACTGTTTTGCATCTCTGAGCAACATGACAGGGTTTTGTTCCTGAATGAATCAACCATTTAAATGATTCGGTTCAATCGCAATAAATCACTTATTAACAGTGACTTGCTGCCACCTAAACCGATAAACCCTGGACATATTTAAGACCGTAAATCTATCGTAAATATGCTGGCTAGCTATGATGTCCCTAAGTTAGCTATGTGTTGTTAAAGACTTAGCACAATTCATGTTGACTGTCTCATTCTATCTCTGTGACACACACACACACACACACACACACACACACACACAAATACACCACAGAAAGT